AAAAAAAAAAATTAAAAAAAAAAAAAAGACGAAATAGGTTGGGTAAAGTGGCTCTTGCCTGTAATTCCAGCACTTTGGGAAGCTGAAGCAGGAGGATTGTGAGAGTGCAATAGTTTGAGACCAGTCTGGGCAACATAATGAGACCTTGTATCTTAAAAGAAACAAAATGAGCCAGGCCTGTAGTCCCAGCTATTCCAGGGACTGACACAGAAGGATTGCCTGAGCCCAGGAGGTTGCAGTTGCAGTGAGCTGTGACGGTGCCACTGCACTCCAGCCTGGGTGACAGAATGAGACCTCACAGAAAGAAAGAATGGAAGGAAGGAAAAGAGAGGGAGGAAGAGAGGAAGGAAGGAAGGAGAAGAGAAGGAAGGGAGGGAGGGAGGAGGGGAGAGAAAGAAAGAAAGAAAGAAAGAAAGAAAGAAAGAAAGAAAGAAAGAAAGAAAGAAAGAGAAAAAGAAAATCAAGATCTTGTAAAAGCATCTGCACTCCATGCTCACTGAAGCATTATTTACAATAGTCAAGATGGGGAAAAACCCAGGTGTCCACTGAAGGATGAATACATGAGGAAAACATAATATGTATACGCAGTGAAATGTCATTTGACTTTTTAAAAGAGAGAAATTCTGCCACTTGCAACAACATGGATGAATCTGCAGGATGTTGTGCTAAGTGAAATAAGCTAGACAAGACTCAGAAAGAAAAATACCACATGATCTCACTTAGTAATCGTAAAAAAAAAATAGTCTAATCCACAGATATAGAGAATTAAAGAGTGGGAAAGGCGGTAAGGAGAAGAAATGAGGAGATGCAAAGCAGCAAACATGTAGGATGAACAGGTCTAGAGCTCTAATGTACAACATGAGGACTATACTTAATAATAATAATAATATACTGACTCCAGATTTTTCTGCTGTTTTAGGGGCTCTTGTCACATGCAAAAAAAATAGGGAGTAACTAATGAGATGATGCACATGTTCATTTGCTTGACTGTGGTCACTTTTTTACTCTCTACATGTACGTGAAAGTATCATGTTGAGCACCTTAAATATATACAATAAAATTTGTTTTTTAAAAAAAGCAAGCAAAAAATAAATTAATTAATTAATTACATTAAATTAAAAACAAATTTCATCCTGGGCAACATGGCAAGACCCCACCTCCACTAAAAAATTAGCTGGAAGCAGTGGTGCGTGCCTGTAGTCCCAGCTACTCGGGAGGCTGAGGTAGGAAGGTCACTTGAGCCCAGAAGTTGAAGGCTGAAGTGAGTTGTGGTGTACCACTGCACTCCAGTCTGGGTGACAGAGGGAGATCTCAACTCTCAAAAGTAAAAAATTCAAATTTTGAATAAATCAGCCAGATTTGTTCACCGCCAAGAACTGTACCTCCTACAAGAGACTGCACAGTTCTGAAATCCATGACTTTGTTCTTCAAGACTTCTGTCTAAAGATTTTCCCCAATTATTATTATTATTATTTTTTAGTTGGAGTCTTACTCTGTCGCCCAGACTGGAGTGCAGTGGCCGTTCCCGGCCACCGCAGCCTCCACCTGCTGGGCTCCAGCGATCCTTCCACCTCAGCCTTCCAAGTAGCTGGAACTACAGGCATGCG